GGCAAGAAGTCCAAACGGAAGTTCATTTACCCAGCCACCCAGCTTTCCACAGCTGTGGTTGAGCCCTACAACTCCATTCTTACCACCCACACCACCCTGGAGCACTCAGATTGTGCCTTCATGGTAGATAATGAGGCCATCTATGACATCTGCTGCAGAAACCTTGATATTGAACACTCAACCTACACTAACCTTAACTGCCTTATTAGTCAGATTGTGTCCTCCATCATGGCTTCCCTCAGATTTGATGGTGCCCTGAAGGTCGATCTGACAGAATTCCAGACCAATCTGGCGTCCTATCCCCGCATTCACTTCCCTCTGGCCACATATGCCCCTGTTATCTCTGCTGAGAAAGCTTACCGTGAACAACGTTCTGTAGCAGAGATTACCAATGCTTGCTTTGAGCCAGCCAACCAGATGGTGAAATGTGACCCTCTCACCATGGTAAATACCTGGCTTGCTGCCTGTTGTACCGTGATGATGTTATTCCCAAAGATGTCAGTGCCACCATTGCCACCATCAAGACCAAATGCAGCATCCAGTTTGTGGATTGGTGCCCCACTGGCTTCAAGGTTGGTATTAACTACCAACCTCCCACTGTGGTGCCTGGTGGAGACCTGGCCAAGGTGCAGCGAAGTGTGTGCATGCTGAGCAGCACCACAGCCATTGCTGAGGCCTGGGCTCACCTGGACCACAAGTTTGATCTGATGTATGTCAAGTGTGCCTTTGTTCACTGGTATGTGGGTGAGGGGATGTAGGAAGGAGAATTTTCTGAGGCCCGTGAGGACGTGGTTGCCCTTGAGAAGGATTATGAGGAGCTGGGTATGGATTCTGTTGAAGGAGAGGGCGAGGAAGAAGGAGTACTAATTTCTTTCAGCCCTTTAGCATATCACACTCAGAGTTGACAAAGCTTTCTGGCTACATTGTCTCTATCAATGTAATCATGTCTTTTCCCCCCATGTGTTCCTGTAAGATTTTTTCCCATCATATGTCTCAAAAAAAAAAAAAGTGATCCAACAGAATGTAGAAATTACTCAACAATATCACTAATATCATATGCAAACAGAAACTTGCCAAAGGTAATCAAAAAAGGACTAGAACAGTACATCAGCAAAGAACTGCCAGAAATACATGCAGGTTTTACAGGAGGCTGTGTGGTACTAGGGATCTGCCAATGTCAGATGGATCTTGACCGAAAGCAGAGAGCATCAGAAGGATGTCTGTGTTTTATCAATCACAATATATTGTATCTAACATGAGAATGTCAGAACAGAGCAAGGAAACACTGCATGGTTAAAAATTGGGAAAGGCGTATGCCAGGGATGTGTCTTATCTCCATACATTTTCAACCTGTATGCAGAACAGATTTTCCGAGACTCTGGGCTCTATGAGGAGAAGTGTGGCGTAAGGATTGGTGGAAGATCTATTAACAATCTGCGTTATGCAGATGACACAACCCTGCTTGCCGAAACTGAGGAGGACCTGAAATGCTTGCTGTACAGGGTCAAGGATTGCAGCCTTCAGTATGGATTGAAGCTTAATGTCAAGAAGACAAAGATTCTCACCACTGGGCCAATTGGCAGCATTAGGATGGATGGTGA